AAAAAAAAAAAAAAAAAAAAAAAAAAAAAAAAAAAAAAAAAAAAAAAAAAGGCACTTCCCAACTCCCTGCCTGGATCGCGAACTCCCACTTCTTCAAGAGTCGAGCCGGCGTCGCCCTCCTGGGAAGCTTTCCAGCTTCTCGCCTCCGAGGACTGGCAAAGATCTGCCAAGTCATTTTACCTCTTTTTACCTTAGTCCAGCTCACACTTTGCCTTTCCCCCCGCGAGCCCCCTCCCCGCCGTCCCCGCATCCCCCGGCCGCTTTACGGTTTCTCATACCTGCACTGCCCTCCCGAGAACTGGGCTCTGGAATCAAATTCCCTGGGTGAGCACTGGGGCTCCAGCCCTTACTGGTCGGGACATTGGAGGGCAAAATTGCTAACCTATTTGTGCTTCATCGGTAAGGTGGGTATTGATAGGGGTCGTCTCAAAGGGTGAAATGTGCAAATACACATTAAATGTGAAAATCCACATAAAGCTTTCAGAACATGGTGTGCACTCAATAAACGCTAGTTGCTGTTTGATGGCATCATACCCGTTCATCACTGCTCGAAGCACAGCACCTGTCAACACAAGCATTCATTCAACAGGTTATCTATCGAGCTCCTAATTTGGGCTGATGCTGAGAGTAGAGCTGCTGTCGTGACAGAGGGGATCCTTGCTCAGGGTCTAGCCTTTGGTGACGGTTGATTGAATAAATGAGACCGAGTGCGTGAGAATATCCGACAGCCAGTCTCCTTACCTCTTAGGCTGGGGTTTTTAACTCTGGGTTGTGGAGCTCCTGAAAGGGACATAATCATCTCTTGGTGCTTGCTCTTTGGGGAGGGTCCATGGGATCTCAAAAAAGGTGGTCAGTGACCACCCCCCAAATAAAAGTGAGGAGCCTCCGCCCGGGGTGTCTTCACACTTGTCGCTTCTGTCCAAGGCGCCAACACTGTTTCTGGGAATATTGCTAAAGTCTGTGTCCTTTCTTTTCCCTCCCTTTTCCTAGCCAGAGGCTTCAGAAACGCAGGTGGTTATTGTTACCAGTTTCCGGCTTCACGATCCCTTTTACTGGTGTAGCTTGGACTCTGGTTTCTCTGGTGACGACTGCTGTTTGCATCTTCCCTGGCAGTTGGCCCTGCAAAGCTGCACCAGTCTTTGGTTCTGAGATTTGAGTTCCTAGGGCACCTGGGAGAAGTGTCATTCATATGCAAAATTTGGAGTATTCTGTTAATTTCTTGCCTTCCAGGATGATATTTTGTTACTGATTTTTATTGCTGAGAAAAAAACAACCTAAGATGTTCTGATTACCTTTAAAAGGTTCTGGGGAAGCAACTTTTTGAAGGTTTCAATTGTTTTAAATAAATCAGCATTGTTTCTAACACTCTTATTCAATAAAAATTTTAAGGTATATTTGCATAGTTTTCTTATTGCTCAATTTTCTTTTGAATACCTTCTAATTTTTCATTTCCTAAATCCTTTTATGGTCAACTCATAACTGAATTCACTTCCTGTTTAAAATTACAGTGACAATCTATAGCACTAATACACTTGTTAAAAGAGACAAAAATTGCCCATTACCCTATGTTCTATCATAATTCTTTAAACTTTTGTTCATTTCTTTTTCTACCAGTATTTATCAGTTAATTTCATACATGTGTTACTCAGTTGAAGTTTGTTCATAATTTTGTTTCTGGGTTTTTTATTTAGCCCTTCTTATGTTTTCTTCTTGTTGCTAATTTAGTGTGAATAATTACAGTTTTTCATTTCTGTCTAAAATTCTGTCTAGTGTAGGACAGGGCATGATTTTTTGCACCTTCCATATTGTTGAATTAGGACTATCATTCTGCTTAAAAGGGTGAGTGATAACTCTTTATGGTGTTCTGATTTAGTCTTTATCATCTTGACTAATCTCTTGTAAAACTGTAAGGCATTTTCTGCCAGAGATTTTCAGATACGAACATCAGAAATCTAACCTTTCTTCATTATTTGTGTATCAAGCTTTTTTCTTCTCCATACCCTATTCAGCTCTCAAGTTATTGGCAGCTACCAACATTCCCATTCTGTTTCCTTTACTATCCTTTTATGAATTCAGCCTCTCTTTCATTCTTATTTGTATACTAGTTGAATTCCTGGCTGGTTTTTCTAGCATTAGTTTTTCTTGTCAGCTTTAACTCATGGCATTTAAATACACGTTGATGGAAGCAATCGAGTATTGAGATAATCACTAATAGTTTCTCCAAGAGAAATTTAGCTCCTCCTCCTAGTATCATGTGTTTTTATTTCTTTCTGTTTTGAGTCATACTTTTGATTTTATTACATATTTCTTAAGATTCTCTTGAGGCAAATAGTCTTTCTTTTCTTTTCTTTTTTTTTTTGGTATTAGTAAATGTAGTATGGTAAAAATTGTTAGCAGAAGCTCACCAAACAAAACAATATAAAGGATCAGATAAAGATGTTTCACATATGGTAGATGATTGTTCCCTTCATAATTGTTTAAGAAGGGTATTTATATAATGACTTGTGAGAAATTATTAAGTGTGAAAGAGGGCAGAAAGTCTAGAGAATTGATGAAGTGCCTACCACTGATTCAGTTGATTCTCTGTTTAATTTTGTAGTATGTCCAGAGATGGTATAAGAACACATTTTAATAATTTGTGTTCCCATGGGCCTATACTTTTGACAGATTATACTTTATTCCAATCAAAAATCCTAGCTTTATGTTTGCCTCAAAAAGTGTGAGGGTAGGGCTTTCAGAATCTCGAAGTCCTGCTTCCAAGAAAAGAAGCTTTGAATTTCTAAAAATATTTATTAATATAAAAACACTGAACTTTGAGAACCTTACATGAAAGTGAAAAATTACCTTAAATGGCACAATGCTAATGTTACATGTGCCTTGAGTTTCTCTTTGTCTTATAAAAGTATATCTACCATCCCTGTATTAAACATTTTGAAATATCTATAATAGTTAAATAGTGGCAATTATTTTTCTCTGGAACTCTGAACCTCTTAACAGAAGATTTTGTACTCTAAGTTAAACAAGCACAATGGCATAAATAAAGCTAAATGAAAAAACAAAAAGTTTTAAAAAGGAATGCTTACCCTTTTTATTCCAATCTCTCGGTTTTTATATTATTGTTATATGCTTCAGGAAGCCAAACAAATTTTCATTTGAGTGTAATGAGTTTATTTCTCAGTGCCTATCAGAACATCTTTCTTAGGGTGCGCAATAAATATTTGACCACATATCTTAGAAATTTATTACAAATGCTGAGTATTTAAATAATAAAAGAATTGGTTAGGGTGTGTGGATTGTCATTTGTGTGAAAAATATGGTTCTTGTGTCAAAAGGAATTTTAGTTCTTTTTGTTTGAAGAGATTAAAATTTGGCCAAGTTTTCTTTTGCATTGCTGCATTTATGTAATAATTAATTATACTAAGCTATCTTGGAAATTTTAGTTTTCATTATTTTGGGAGTTGATATCTAATTTTAACTTTTAAAATAAAAAAAGGCAATTTTCACTTAACTTTGGTAGTATTTCTTAAAGAGCATGAAAGCTTTGTGAATCTGCCTTTCTTTTTGGTGAAGTTTACAAATAGTGCATTTAAAATGTTTAAGAAGCTTTTAAGTTATTGAGTTATTTCAGTTGTTTCCAGAATGATTTTTATTCTGCTTTGATAGGAAATGGTACTCCAGAGTTTTGAATACAACTTTAAGTTGTTATTTAAAAAAAATGTAGAAATATGTATATATGTTCTGGTTATAATATTCTTGTGACTTTTAATCTTTATGGTTGTTGAATGGAAAATACTTATTTTTGCCTGCTTAATAGTAGTCTTAAAAATACTGACTTTTTAATTTTAAAGATAAATATTATCTCATTCATTCTGTAGGATAATTTTCATTTAACATCTTTAATATAGAGAAAAATTAGACATTTAAAGGTACTTTTTTTGTAGGGAAAAAGGAAAAATTATATGAACGGGCTTTCCCCTTTTTAATTAGTACTTCTTATTATTGGCTAAGAGCACAAATATTCAGAGTATTTAACCTCAGAAATGAAACTTAGAATTCTCTGAAATTTGTATTGAACTGATACATATGGATGTATAGGAGTCAGATCTTTAGTCATGTTGTTTTAGTTTTCTTGTTGATAAATCTCAAATTCTAATTTCCAGCAAGGAGAAGGAGCTTGACTATTCAGGGGATTTAAAGAGATCTAACAGATTAGTCTGTTGTCCCCACTGGTAGCTGTTGGCAAGTGAAATTTACTTGGTGGAGTGTTAAGTCCCTTCTCCCACTGTAACTGATTAGAACTGCTTAAAGTTGTTTGTTGGATTAATGATAGTATAACTACTAAGATTACTTAATAAGGTTAGTAATGATTTTCTGTTTACATTTCTAAAGCAAAGACATTAATTTTGATATTCTATGCATCAATTTTTTTAGACCTCCTTAACTACATGTTTTGCTCAAGAAACTTTTGGGAAACAGTACAAACAAACTATAGGACTGGATTTCTTTTTGAGAAGGATAACGTTGCCGGGTAAGAGACTAAAAAATCTTAACATAGAAAATTGTACATATCTTACAATAATAACAGAAATATGTGAAATAAATTTGGGGGTTGTTTCTGCATGAAAATATATATAATTAGCGGATCTGTCATAGGGAGGTTAACTTGCATCAGGATCTCCTGTGAAGACATATTGTCCATGGGTGTGAGAGAAAAGTTTATATATTCCCCCACTCTCCTGCTGTTTTTGACCACTCCACACATTTTTCAAGGATAAACAATAGTTGCTTATAAAATTCTAAAAAGTTAAAAAAAGTCAAATGCTATACAATTATAAACAGATATTGTATAAACTAAATGTGAAAAGACTGGAAGGGATTATTTTTTAAAAATATTATTTTGATTAGCCACTGCTTCAGTTTTTTGTTCGAGAGAAGGTTGGAACAGAAGTATAATGTAGCTGTGGAACTTCTGTGCTCTAATATGTGAATGCTGTTTTATGCAAGGCAGCATGAAATTGCTGGCATTTAATAGACCACTAAAATTTAGGGTCCCTAGGCACTCATAAAAATACAGTTTGAGCATTCAAGATGTTTCAGTTCACCATGCAAAGAAACTATTTAGATGCCAGTTGCAGCACATTTTGTGGGAAATACAGGGATATAATAACAAAAAGAGAGTGGTTTCTGTTTTAAGTTAGTTTCTGAACAATTGGGGCTTTAAAATGCTCTGTCCATTCATTTGTGATGGTTAAATTAGATGTTTAAAGTATTTTATTAAAAGCAGTTTATCTTGATTGACTTTCTAAACCAGTCCATCCCTCTCCTCTCTGAGGAAACACATTTGAATAAAAACGGTTGCGAGTGTAGTGTCAGATTCATATACTGGAGTGTGAGTGATATAGTGGGAAGGGGTTTAATAAATTCCAATATTATTGAAATATGTTAACCTCTCAAACACCCCATCTATCAGACAACTCTCCATGAAAGTTTTAGAGCAGCTAATGAAAACTCTTAGTAATTGGTGGTATTCTGCATATCTCACTAGTAATATGCTCTATTATATTTTGTGATTGTCTGTATTCAGCAACCAATGAAAAATAAATTGAAAGATATAGTATGAGAAAAGAATTCCAACTTTCTATTACTAAGTTATTGCAACAAGAGGCTTAATGAGAAACATACGCATATTTTGTTTCATTTGTATTTCCTTTTAATGTATTCAAAACTGAAAAACCTCATTTTACTTTTATTATTCTCATTTGTTTGTCTAGGTTAATGCTACATTCAGAGTATAGGAGTCACTAGAAGAATACATACACAGATCATATATTATACATGCTGAAAGCTTATTTTTTGCAACAGTTTTTTCAGAGATGGTAGTTGTACATAGAGAACCTTAATATATGTATTTAGTTATTGACCATTGTTTTTGATGGTAATTAGCAAGAGCATCAGCTTTCTGTACCATTAATATTATTTAGTTATTCTGACTTTTTTTTTAGTTCAAAGCCTTAAATATAGGAATAAGCACCACTCAATCATTAAAAATATTTTAGGGCTGGTTTTGGACATTTTATATAGGTGATATATACATATGATGATTTCTGATCTGTTGCACAATACTACCCATTTTAAAGTTTTGATTACTTTGTAAAAAATATTTGGTATTTTTGAAATCAAAATTTGTAATATAATATTTTAGAGTTAGAAAGTACTTATATTAAAAATGATGTTAGGAAATTTATACTCTCAATGAATGTATATTTTAATGAATTCCTGAGTAAGTTTTTATTTTGATGGGTAGAATTCCAGAAAAAAATTCTTTTTTTTTTTTTTTTTTTTTAAGGCAGTTGGTTTTATGTTACTTCATGGACTCAAAATTGTGTTAGAAATTTCACTAGGAAAAAATTGTTTTAATGTAACCTGATTTTATATAATTAAGTACATTAAGAAAGGAGATAAATAAATTACAAGCTTCACAGTATATTCTTTATATATTTTAACCTTAATTTTAATTCATTGCAAGTGTCAAATGTAGGATGATTAATATATGTATCATTTGCTAAAACATTACAGGCAGTATTATCGAATTTATTGTAAAGAGCGTACTGGGCGAATCTAGTATTTGTTAAGTATTCTGTCTAGTAAATCTTCTGTCCATTCAGATTGTTAGGTGAATACCTCCTGTCCATCTATTGACATTCTCTTCATGCAAGTTTTCAAGGTCATTACTTTGTAAATATTCATCCATTTTAGTATATTTCATGTTCCGGTATGCTGTATAGTCTGGATGCAACCACTGTGCAGCATTTACTGCTTAAAATAGTGTATCTGTTAGTCAGAGATTCTGCTGATAGAGCTTCTTAAGAGCCTTAGTCAAAATACTTTCAGGAAGCTTGTGGGTACAGTCCAGTAAACAGCGTTCTACTGTGAAAAGGATTTCTAAGTCTTTAGTACAAGAAGTGGGCAGACTTGTGTTTTTAGTTCCATCTTGACTGTGCAGCACTTTAAGTAAGGTTAACCAAGGCACCAAGTGTACTTTTACAAGGTCACTGTTGAATCCTCTTGGTGGCTTTGATTCATACCAAAAGCAACTTACCTGTATTTTGTCACCTCATTTATCTTATTTTTTTTTTCCCCTGGTTACGTGTCATTCCTTACCGGGGAGCAGGAATTTTGTAACATTTTGCATTTGAGATTAGATTGCTGACAATTTCCTTAATGTTCTTTATTAGTGGGAAATTTATATTAGATGGATTCTTGATTTTTAAAAAATTTTATAGTACTGATTATTTGAATTCTATTTTTGTAGGTTATTAGGTATGTCATTTTGAAAATATACATGGATACTTCATATATTTATGTTTAGGGTAACTTAAAATGAATATTGATCGGAATTCCATCCTTATGTGTTTTGTTTTCCAAAGAGAGAACCCCTGTTTATTTTTATTTTTATGTTAATAAGCCTAAAATTCAAATGTGGAAGTTAAAAACATGTGTCTAGACATATGAAATAACTATGAAGCTAGTATCATTTGTGGAAGCTATAATGATAGCAAAAGTGGGGTTTTTTTGGCTAGCATTGTCGATTGTCAGTAATGCATAACTTTTTATTTCTGAGGCACTAGAATATGTATATTAAAAAAACAAGCCAACAACAACAAACAGTGTTTATTTAGAAAGGTATGAATTTAAAAAATACCTGCAACATAGGAATATAAATACAAACTTCTCAGATGGGAGGCAACTAAATAAACGATTTAGTCTTGAAATGATGTAGTAAGGATTTGGAAACATGAATATCATGTTCGTAAAGTGGTAGCTAAGGTGTTCACAATAACTAATTCAGATTGGATCTGACTATCAGAATTTAAAGGAAGAAAAGCTTTATATTTCTTAGTGCAAAGCTAAGTGATAGGATTTACTGGCCTTGAAGAAAATGGGATTAAATGCCTTATATTAAGTGTTACCTACAATCTTACTGTAAGAAAGTTAATATTATTAAGCACTGGTTTTTTTGAAGTAAACAAATGACTGTAAAGAGTATGCAAGTAAAATGAAGAGAGTACTGCCTGTTTATCTAGGGGCTTCTGAAGCGATTTAACTTATTGCTAACGACTACTAGTCTTTTCTCACCTGCTTAGTTTGAGACACCGTCATAGGAGAATGAGTTGAGTTTTGAAACTTGAAAAAATTTAGATTTTTAAGTAAGTGGGTTTATCCCAGTTGTTGGATAAGTCTTACTTGTCTGTGACATTTTGGTTTTCGTCTTTACAGAGCTCTAAGAACATGTTCGTCATTACTCTGTGAGTGTTGAAAGTGTGTGTATGTGGGAATGATGACGGGTGATAAACTTCAGGAGCTCTCATTAATGCTAATGGAAGTTCCTCATGTAAATCCTTTGCACGTTGGCAGATGCAACAGACCTACCTCAAAATAATGGAAAGATTGTAATACAAACCCAACAAAACTTAGAGTTAGGGGTACAACTTGGCTGGTTAATCCAGTGTTATACTTGCTTTTCAGTTGAATGGTGTGACTTAACATTCTCTGATTTCAGTGTTTTGGCATTGGCATAAAAATTTATGTCTTCATAATCTTTTTTATTGTTTTCGAAGCGAGAACTTTTTTTAGTGTCTTAAGTTTTTATTTTGAGTTTTTCTGATTGGCAAATCATTCAGGCAGGTCCATTTTTTAGTGTGGGAGCTCATTTTGAAGATACTAATTGAGACTTTGTCTACTTGGAGAAAACTGCATTATTAGGAGAAATACTTTGAAATGTTAAACTAAGAAGTACGTTGGACTTGGTCTTTAACTTCTGGGGTTATGCATTCATAAGAGAGAATAGCTTATCTCATAAATTTTTGTATCAGCCAAATAGTTTGCAAAATAGACAAAAGAATTTTAAAGATTGCTTTTTAGTATTTTTAAATGCTTTTATAATGCTTGTATGGGGAAGATTTGTTCCACCATTTTATGAAGGCTTTGAAGCACATATTATGATTTGTTTCAGTGGAGATGATTTTAACAGTAAACGCATCATAATATTTAGTGATATACTGGGTATGTATCCTACATCTGTTCTCAAGAGGGCTGTCGTATGTGTTTATATTTTATAGGTTAAGTTTGAAAACGTAGTTTTAAAAATTATGTTTCCTATTGCATATTTTAAGTGACATTTAAATATTAATAGTCCCATTAATTTGAGTTGAAACTCTTGAGTCCATTTTTGTAGTCTGTTATTAATCTGTGAGTATTAGAACCTATAGAGTTTAGAGTTTACAGTAAAATTCATTATGTGCTATAGGGTAGGTTATAATACTTTATATAATATAAAGTTCTATTTTTATTTTTAAAGTATATATTTTTTACCCCCCGTACAAGTGTTCTATCGTCCTAGTCTCTGTTTAAGAAAACTATTCTTTTTAAAGTTTTGAGCAGTGTATGAATTGAAAGTTTTTTTTGTTTTGTTTTGAAGGTGATTATAAATGTGGTTCTATAGAAATGGGGTAAAAGTATAAATCTAAATTCCCCATTATGATTTCTTTTGACAACATCATTTCACAGTTCCAAATAATCTGACCATATGAGCGTGCAGAATAGAAGGCAGATTAGGTCCACAGTTTATCATTGTGATTTAGTGTTCTCTGAAACTGTATCCAGTTGTTATTTTGTTACTTACCTTTTCTGCATTCTTGTTTTTATATTCAAGGAAACCTGAATGTTACTCTTCAAGTTTGGGATATAGGAGGACAGACAATAGGAGGCAAGATGTTGGATAAATATATCTATGGAGCACAGGTATGACATAAATTCTATGATTATTCCAGTACTGAAAATACTCCTCTCACAAGCACATACAACTGGGTACACACATACATACTCTCTCCCTCTTTATAACTTGATTTTTATCTGATATGTAGAGAGACTGATTTTATCTTTGTGCTCATCCTTTGGTTTCATCCTCCCCAAATTATGTTTGGAATGATTTGGGTCAGGGAGCTGGTGTGACTAATAGCTTTCCTATGCTTCCTTATATTGCTAGGTATTATTGTCAGCAGTTGAATAAATGCAGTGATAGGTGGTATTTTATATTTATTAGCTGATTTGGTTATAGTGACTGCTTTCAGAAAATGTCAACTAAATGAAAAATATAGAAGGGGAAAACTTAATTTCATTTTAAGTTGTAAGGACAGAAAGCATATTTACATATTTTTGTGCTATGAATTAGTTTATTAAATATTTATAATTCTTCAGATTTAATACATATCAGTATATTGTATCAGCAAACTATGAACAATTCTATGTATGAAGCACATATAATATTTTAACATAATGATGTCTTTTCAGAAGAATATGTAGATGGAGAAAAACTGCTTGAATAATAATATGACAAAATTCTTTGGCAACATGAGCATATATAGATATAATTTATAAGTTGTTCAATTATTATGCAAATGGAAAATATGCATGATAGTGATATACTTCAGAAAGTTAATTATTGACATGCTGTTTATTTTTGCTTTTTCTTCCACTCTAGTGTGTGTCTTTCACACCATCATGAAGCGCAGGAGGGGCTAATAGTCATAATCCTTCTTTAGGTCTTTATTGGAGTTTAATGTTTTCAGTGGAAGAGTCTTACCTTGGTTCTGTGGAACTATGTTGCTTCTAAGAAGTGAGTCTAGGAGACAAAGACAGAATGTTAAGCACTGTTCTGTACGAAGTGTGATGCTCGACATACACCATTGCCTTAATTTTGGATGGAAAATAGATTCTGAATTATTTTCTAAAACATTCAGAGAAGGATAAATGGTTCTGAATCAAGTGTGAGGCCCTAGGGTTTCGTTTTTTGCATTATTGATATATAGATCTGGCTTTTAGAAATACGTCTATGCCTTTTCTACATTGTTCTTTGTCTCCTGGAAAATCTTTCTGCTCATTTAGCATTTTCACTTGTGACCATATAATTTGGTATTTTATGCATGTTCATTTTTCTCTTAAAACATACGTCTCAGATTTTTGTGTCTGGCTTTTTTGTGGTTTATTTTTTTTCTGTTTTAAGCATTATATTCAAAGTAGATATTAAGATAAAGAAAAATTGCTAGACAGAGATTTGTGGGAAGCCACAGTTCTTTGTTTTGCTCACCTATTTGGTAAAATTGGTTTTGAAAATAATAATCTCTTTCCTCTTTGTCCGTTAAAGTCTACCTTCAAGGGTACATACTGGATTTTTAAAAAAAATAAACATTATATTAGTCAAGCTTCTTAAAACATTTGACTCTGAACGTCAAATAAATTTTATTGGTTATAGGTATATCCAGAGTTAGTGGAGAATGGGAAGATTTTATGAATCTTAGGGCAAAAAATAATATAAAATTCAATTGACAAATTTTTCTTCACTAAAAATTGAGGGTATATAATGCTCGTGATTTGGATTCCCTTAATTTTACCTTTTCGTCATTTAAAAGTTTATTATTTGATTTATATAGTTATTTATTAATATAAAATTATGTATAAAATTGTTGGTGTGAAATTGACATGTTATAAAATTAACCATTGTAAAAGTATATAATCAGTGGCATTTAGTGCATTCACAATGTTATGTGGCTGTTCTGTTAAATCATTTTTTTTTGCAGTGTTTTATGCCATTATTTAACTGCTTAAAATCAGCAGACATTATTAGTCAAATTTGTAGAAATTAAAAAAAATTTTCATCTTTTTTTGAGAGAACCTGAGTTTAGTAAAATGTCTGTGTTCTCTTCTGATGTCCCTCATATGTTGTGAGAAAGAGCGTGTTATATTCCTTCTTATAAACTTGTCAAATAAGATTTCTGTTTTGAAGGTACATATGACATTTTTTTCTTTTGATGGTGCCTTACATTGTTTATACTTTACAATTTCTGTGAATGTTATAAGACTATACCTTGTTTTATTGAACAACGATGTAAGTACAGTATTTCTGAGAATTTCATGAACATTATGAAATTGTGCCAGGAAACTACAAATTCTGAGATGATAAAAATGAATTATCATAAATTAATGAAAATATAATAAATTCTGCTTTCCAGAGATTCTAAATTAGTTTATGCAAAATACATAAAGTACATTTACCAATAGTTTCTTTTGTAAAATATATGTAAATTTTTCTATCTAGGCCAGAGAAGCTCTGACTACGATTCTCTACCATAAACTGGGGGAAATGTTACTTTTCAAAAGCATTCCAGTAGCATTTTAGTATACTTAATAACTTTATATTATATGGTCATATAATTATTCTTCAAAGTGGATCTATACTGTTTCTAGAGTTCTTATAGATGCTTATATTGCTCATCTCATGAATACTTTGCATTTTGGTATACATGTTACAGGATAGATATCGTTCAGAAATGATGTTTGGATAGGCTGTTTTGAGGACATCAGTTTAATGTGTTATTTAGGATTTTGGCTTAGGTTCTCTAACTTACGTATTGTGTATAGAAAGAATTATCTTACACATGTCTGGGCAGTTAAGTTAGTGAGTCTGTTTTTCTTAAAGCATTTCTTAACATTAAGAAGCTCATTGGTAGGCTGGGAATGAACTTAGATTCAAATAGCACTGATTATTTTACCCTGTTCACATTTTCCCCCCAGTAGTGTTAACTCTAGCAATCATCTATTGAATAGCGTTGGTTGAAACAAAATTGGATTGACACCCAAGAAAGAATTAGTGAGGTATTTTGACAAGAACCAGTTCTAAGAATTGAAGTATTTCCCAGTTAAATTCCCAGATTTTAAATTAACTTAAAATTTTCTAGGAGTCTTCAGAAAGATGTTATAGGCTATTTTTCATAGTGGTTAGAAGCAAACACACAGTACATAGTGTTTAGTGCCTTGTAACCTGTGGCTAACAGAGGCTAATAACAAACCTCAGAGAAGGACTGGGTGTTTCATTTTTGTAGCTCTTTCCGCCCTGGAATCTAAGTGGTTTGCAAACACTGCCCTACTGAGCATAAACTCAATGAAGTGTAGTCATTTGTGAGGCAGAACATAACTACTATTGTGTGCCAGTGCCCCACACAGATGAGCCAGCCTGTTAACCACCAACAAAAGGATTTGGTTGCCTGTATAGCGGCTGGGGAGAGAGCGCATCGCAAAGCTGGACTCTCTGAGACCCTCTGCTATCTTTTACTGTGCATTTTTTACTTGGATACTTGCCAACTTATAACTGATTATACAGACCGCTCTTGCATTAGTGTTTCTTCTTACGGGTTGTACTTATGCAGCAAAGTATATGTTGTAAGACTGTGGTACAAGCTATATGGTTTAACCCATTTCCACATATAATTAAAAGCTAAAGTAGATTATTTGTTGTACAAATCATGGAGGAAAAAAATACCTGCATTACGGGAACTGGGAACCTTTCATTTTGTGGAAGGTTAAATTGTGTATGTACTGTGCCTGTTAAATTTCAGAACTAAATCTATGGAATAACTTAGAGTACTTAGGTATTGTCCTTTGAGACTTCAATATTTCCTTGAAAATGCTGTCTGTCTGGTTAATGGTTCATCATCATGTTCATTAGATATGGTGAAAAGTGAAATAGATGAAAACAAAATACTATATGAAGAAACTTTGTGTAATATTTACTAAAAGTTTTGAGGTTTATAAAGAGAAGGGGCGATAGTGTCTTCTGGGAATTGCAGGGGAAAAAGTGAAGTTAAGGTATAGAAAATAGAGGGAATCTTTGCTGAAGAATTTGAAGATATAGAAGGATGTATTAAACTTGAAATCTGATTTCCAAAAGTTATAGCAAAAAGATCTGGGATGAAGAGGAGTAGCTGGAGGGTAAACCGGGAAGAGCAAGCACAGAGCAGTGTGGGGAAGAGACGTAGGAGAAAGATAAATGGCAGGTAGGTAAGTAATAAAAATGCATCAGGGACATGAGACATGGAGATGGGTTTCGATGGCCACAGGGTTGCCAAGAAAATTATTTCTGGCAGTTACTGGTAGATTGCTTCAGTTGTTGCCAAGATGTATTGCATTTCTGAGGGAGTTATACTTTCTTGTGGCTGAGAAGATTCTGATAGTTTTCTGGAAGCAGTCAGAAGAGGTCCAGATTGATGGATGAGAGATTGGTGGTGAGAGATTCGGGGTTTTGAGGGTGCTTGTGTTATAGGCTCCTAAAGAGGTGAGTACTTAGAGGTCTGACTTTGGTGTGCTGCAGCTGGTGGGTAGAGGCCTTGGCGGGGGTCAGTGGCCTCTTGTAGGAGTTTTGGTCATTTGTGTCTTTCAGAGCAGTGATCCCTTTCATCTGTGTGATCAACTTTTTGGCCATAGAGTTGTTTATATTACTCCATTACTATTCTTATAATGTCTGTGGGACTAATAGTGATGGCCCTTCATTGATTTGGGTTTTCTCTTCCCTTCTCTCTTTTTTTTGGTTAACCTGGTTAGAGGTTTACCAGCTTTTGGTTTTTTTGATTTTCTCTATTATTTTCTTCTTTTAAATTTTGTTGATCTCTAGTTTTTATGATTTTTTAAAAAAATTTTATTTATTTATTTGACAGAGAGAGAGAGATCACAAGCAGGGGGAGCAGCGGGCAGAGGGAGAAGCAGGCTCCCCATCGAACAGGGAGCCTGATGCGGGGCTCGATCCCAGGACTCTGAGGTCATAACCTGAGCCAAAGGCAGACATTTAATGACTGAGCCACCCAGGCGCCCCAGTTTTTATGATTTTTTTTTGTTCTGCTTTCATTAAGCTTAAATTGTTCTTCTTCCTCAGTTTCTTCAAGTAGAAGCTTAGATCATTGATGTTTCTTCTT